CGCACGCTTGCTGGCGCACCAGACCCAGCTGTAAGGACGCGCACGCTCGGTGGCGCACCAGACCAGACCAGCACAACTCCGCAGGCAGGAGAAGTACGCCGTTTTCCAGAATACAACTACCAAAAACCTGGAGAGGAGCTGATGCTCCCTGGGACACGGCCATCTGCAGGAGAGAACTCACCTCCTCAGGAAACTCCTCCCCCACTAAACACATGATCAGCGATGTCTTCCCCACCTTGGCTAGCGACAGAGAGAGGGGAGAAGAGAGGGGATTAGCAGAGGTCTGAGCACTGTTCCTGGCAAGCCACAGCAAAACAGCCCGAAATCCGTCAACCTGGTCAAATCATCGGCAGAATCAGGTGCTTGTGCTTTTTGTTTGCCAGGAGAGAATGGGTTAAGAGGTGCTGGGGGAAAAAAAAAAACAGACAGTACGTGCTGTTCAGGGAGGCTTATCTCCCAGCCCGGACCACACCCCTGTGCACAGCTCCCACACGCTGGAAAAGAGAACGTGCAGCCAGGCCAGGCCAGGCCACACCTCGGATGTGTATACCTGCGACTCACTCACTGCTCTGTAACCCACAACAAACCGGCGACGAGCTGGTTTCCTTAAGACGGCCTGGATGACAGCAAGAAAGCCATCAACCTGCTGCTCAGGGCTCTCACAGCTGGGCACCCACAGAGAAGGGGATCAGAAACAATGGCTACTGAGAACGCCATGAGGAGGGATGCACTGCGTTACCTCTTCCAGAGAGGACTGACGGAGGAGAAACCGGCCGATTAGACAGGAGGTGGCCTGGCAGATCGATTGACCGTTTTGAGAGTTTTCCTTGGCTTTTCGCCATGTTACAGAAGGCAAACTGCAGCAGTCAGCATTGGACAAACACAATTCATTCTGGATGGAGTACACACGCAGCACTTAAACGGACCATAAGTGTATGGTATTTGCGTTTTAAGTGCATTTGGTGCTCAGGCCCTACAACACCAGAGAGCCCTTTCCAAGTGGGGTGGGGGGCTTGTAAGCTCACAGGAACCAGGGTCACCAGCTCCTCCTCGCTTTCGACATCTGACGAAATCAAAAAGCCGAGCGCTGTGACAGCTCTCCACCGGCTCAGCTGCTAATTTGTTAACCAAAAAAATCTCAGGCCAGCCTGTTGAGACTTAAAGGCATCTTTCTGAACGGCATACACATGCTGAAGAGTTACTCCAGGGTGTACCAAAGTACCTTTTATAGATCTCAGATTAATACCGGATTTGTCTTGTGACAATCGCAACAAGCATTCTGCAATGTGTGCTCCATACTACAACACACCTACACTCCCAGTGCTTCACCTGAGCATTTTAGGGTCGTATTCATGGAGAAGTCAATGTTTTTTTTCCCCAAGAACGTTTTTGCTGCCGTTTTGAGCTCAAAGCACAAAGGTCCGTGTGTCCGTGGCTGAGGCATGAAACACAGGAACCCTTTCAGTCTCAAAACACGGAGAATAACCTTCCCTTTGAAATGAGAAAAACCTTCACCTACAAACCGTTCACAACAAATCCCTTATCTCTGTTTGTGTTAGTGTGAACAATGTATCTGTCCTCTTGCAACAAAAGGACAGTGTGAACCCTCAAGTGTGGCTGTCAAATTGACTCGAATTGTTTATTCATAAACTCCAACTGAAACCAGGCAAAAATAAAACCGAATCAACACGCTTCAAAACTAACTTTCAAATCGCCCAGTCGTTGTTTTTTAGACGTCTCTCAGTGCCAGTCTTTCGTCAAGATGAAATCAATGAATATGATTAAATCGCTGATCGCGGTGGGGTGAAACCAATATACTGATCGATTAGGAGAGCTGCTCTCCCGCTGGACCGGACTTGAAAGTAGCGGTCGAAGTAGAAATGAGGAGACTTCTTTTAACTAAAAGTAGCTAAACCGGCACAGCTGACAAGGTGCTCTTTCTCTGGCGATATATACACACACTGAAATAAACCCTTCAAAACAATACAGTTAAATATCACCCTTCTGGAAGTAACCAAATGATATTTGTACAGCCCAGCACCATTATTTTTCATTTGATCCTTTTTTTTTTTAATTTCGTAAAGTTGCCGCGCAAGAAAGCGATTCATAAACTCACGCTCCCCCAGCAGGAGGATCCTGACGTCTCTCTTCATTTTGGTTCCTGTTTCCTCTTGCTTTCTGTGCTGTGACGAGCTCCTGTGTCGGCTTCTCGGTTATGGTTTTTTGCGAGTTATTTTTTAAATTCAGGCTCCGGCTGACGCTCCTCTGCGACCCATTCCGCCACCTTCCAAGGAGAAACGCGCAGAAGCGACGCTTCCGGTGACTCGAACGCTGTTCACTACTGCCGCCTGCCGGCCAGACAGAATAACTCCACACAGGTCAAAGAACCAGCTGACTCTTCCCTTCCCAATTAACTTTTAACAGCAATTAACTTTTCATCTATTCCTACGCGTCGGCCAGACTGTAGAAACCACCAATTACAAATGAGTTATTCAAAGAGACGTTTATAGCTCATTAAGATCATTTCGAAAAATTCCCTGTGACAGATCAGCAAGAGACCCTGGATGTTGCGTTTTGATTTTATTCCAATTCTGTCTTCATATTAATGTTTATTTGTATAAGAAGCCTAGTTATGTAAAGTAACAAAATATTGCAACATAAATATATAAAGTAGAGGCATTGCTTTCATTTTAGTCCAAGATTTAAATGTAATTTGTATATTTTAAATACACTGTAAAAGGGTGCCAAGCTCCTAATACCCAGAGGGTCTTCTTTCTTCTGGTTTTTCTTCCACCTTGAGTAGTCAATTAAACAAAAAACCTAATTGTTTTTACCAGTACAATTTGCCAAAGCTCTTTTACAGCTTTCTCAATGCAGTCACTTTGTTAAAAGTCCAGGTACTTACTGCATAAAACTCCCAAGAATCTGTGCTGAAGTGTAACTAGTTAACTGATCAATAAGAGCAGGTATCTGAGAACTTGGGTAGGACACAAAAAAACTGAAGAGCAGGGCAGCCCCACCCTCTCCAGGCTTGTCCAAATTCCTCTCGCATTTTCCTTAGGTGTCCACTGGGGGTCCTTCTGAAGAATTTACAGTCTGTATGCCTAGTTCTTGGCATTAAGAATTAAAGCAATGCTATTGTTCACCATATTCTTTCATATTTTACTGCCTCTCAGAACATACACTGTCCCAGCCATAAAACACTCAAGTTCCCTTTCTATATCGCACATTGAATAGGAAATCCCTTTAGAACTACAAGATATTTTAAAATCCACAACACAGGGCTATGTAAATCTTTTCTTTTGACTTCTAAGTCAATTATCATTAGACATCGCTTTCTCACCAGTTCGATTTATTTTCAATACCACCGTTAAACAAAGCAGGGGGCTTACTGTATGATGTTACATGTGGCAAGATCTTCTTTATTATATGCAAATTTTAGAAATGTTTCATCCACAAAAATATTCCCGATTGTATTTCTGTATGGTATGTCACACTTAGTTTAATGTTTTAAGTGCATCTAAAGAAGAAGGTGTTGGCATAAACTACTAGTAACCAATATAATGTAAAAAAATGTCAGATAAACGTAAACATTTTAATTGCCGCTACTTTGTTCAAATGTGCGTTAAATCTAGCTGAAAATAAATAAGTAAAATACAAGATGATAAAATAAAAATATAATTTAAAATATTAACTGAACAACAATTAGTAACAACCTGAACGTGTTCAGTGCTGTTCTCTGTGGTGGACAGAGGGAAGAATCTCATTGATGCCTTCAGCTGGTGTCCAACTCTTTCCCGGGCAGTTTCCATCAGGCAGTAATGGAAACCCAGTCACGCGGCTTTTATCTTTTTGCAACATTTATTAAAAAAAGCTTTTTACAAAAATAGGGCAATAGCTGAACGCTTTATAAAAACAGCTTAAGCTTTGTACAAACTTCAAATACCCAGATTTGTTCTGAAACTGTAACACAGAAACAAAGACACTAGAACTAAGCACATCATTTCAAATGTTTGCTCTTGCCTAGCTGGAAGCTAAACTAGTGCTTTTACTAAAATAACCTAACAGAGCTGTACTTCCAGACAGCAGAAAGATCACAATAACTGATGGAGTGTGATGAGGAGTTCAGATTCAGACTCTGGAATATTTAACCACATTATAATGAGGACAAAAAAAAGTACAGTTAAACCAAAAATCACAGACAGGAGGGTCCAGGGAAAAGGACATGACAACTCCTAGAAACGTTTAACAGTCGCATGTACATACGAACACTGGGAAATCCCAGTCACTACATTTACTGAATGCAGCTTTGCTGACTCTATATTGACTTTCTGACAATCCAGAGTGTTCAACTCCGATGAGTCAAGGACGACACAGTCTACTGAAATAATCTTTCAGTCAAAACGCATGACTTCAGTTGCGTCCCTAATGAAGCCGATGCAGGTGTACAGGAAACCAGGGGACAGCAGAAACTGACAGTGGTGTGCATTTAAAAAGACAATGCAGGCGAAGAGTGTGGCTGGCTGCAGATCTGACTGTCTACAAGCCCAACACATCCCACAGCAGGATTTCATTGTAGGCCGAGGTGAAGAGCCGATTCCCAGACGGGGCGAACCGACACATGTGCACGGCGTCGCTGTGGGCCACGAAATCCTGAAACTTCCCACTCGTCGATTTGATGAGCTTCAGTAGCCGTTCTGGGGAGAACAATTCCAGATATAAAGCAGTGCATGCCACAGCCGTGGGCGAATTGGAAAGCCTGCTTTCCCTCAAGACTACATTTATGAACAAGATAGAAGATGGAACTTGAAAGGCTAACGTTGATTTTAGAAATGATTTTTTAGGCATAAGGGGCGGAGTGGTGGCTCTGTGGCTAAGGATTTGCGCCTGTGGCTGGAAGGTTGCCGGTTCAAATCCCATGGCCGGCAGAGGAATCCTACTCTGTTGGGCCCCTGAGCAAGGCCCTTAACCCCAGCTGCTCCAGGCACTGTACAATGGCTGACCCTGCGCTCTGGCCCCAAGCTTCTCTCCCTGTCTGTGTCTCATGGAGAGCAAATTGGGCTATGTGAAAAAAGATGAATTCCTAATGCAAGAAATTGTATATGGCCAATAAAGTGATCTAATCTTATCTTAAGCAAAGCATCTGCTAGGGGCAGGCGCTGAGACGGACTGGCGTCCCATCCGGAGGGGCCAGTCAAGTGCTCCACGTTCAATTATCTCCACTTTCTGGAGTGTTTCAGTGTATATTAATGGGTCTGGAACAGTGCTTTGAAAGAAGCTCTGCTCATTTGTGAGGACAATATTTCCAGGAGAACAAAGCCAGCAAACTGAGAATTCTACACTATGATCTCATTAAGATGTGAATATGACCTTAGGGTAATATTAATAGGACACTATCATTTCATGAAGCTGAAAATTTGGAGAGAGGGCTGTCTGATTTATAAAAGTATATATTTAACAGACATTCAGTGTTTTTGTCAAAGGGAAGGGCATGACAATGACTTAGCCCCAGCTAAATGTTTGTTCTGTTCACTCAAGTGGGGACAGATTTCAAGATTTGCTACTTTTCTGACATGAATGACAGTAAGGTAGGCAGAGCTGTACAAAAGGAACGTCAGGATCTGCACTAGGAGAACTAACTTTATGAATGTTTATGAAATACTGACATTTTTAAATCACTAATGGCATGGTGGCACAGTGGTTAGCATATCTGCCTTGCAGTGCTTGGGCCCTGCGCTTGATTCCAGACTTGGGGCGTTATCTGTGCGGAGTTTGTGTATTCATCCCCTGTGGGTTTGCTTCCAGTGCTCTGGTTCTTTCCCACAGTCCAAAGACTTGCTGGGAGGTTAATTGGCTTCTGGGAAAATTGGTCCTGCTGTGTGTGTGCCCTGAGATGGACTGGTGTCCTGTCCAAGGTGTACCCTGCCTTGTGCCCATGGCTTGCCGGGATAGGCTCTGGGTTCCCCATAACCCTGGACTGGAAGAAGCAGTAAGAAAATGGATGAATAATTATTTAAAATGGGAGAGTGAAAGGACTCACCATCTGACCCAACTGCAATGAGATGGCCTTTGGGAGAAAGGCTTAAACATGTTGCCCAGTGAGAGAGTGCAATTCTCTTGATAATCTGTAGAAAAATGCAATGTCAGCAATATTGCAAAGACTGAGAATGGCCTTTGGAAAAAATGTGTACAAATTCAATATGAACACCATTCAAATTTAGGAAAAAGTGGAGGCATTTCCACTTGGAAACCCACGTTCAGTCTTTAAAGACCCAAGTACACAGAGTAAGAAATAGGATGAATCTCGCAAGGTCACAACAACACAGACTTTGATCTCAGCAACTTATTTACAATTCTCAAAACCAGAATTCGCGTGGCCCTTGTTAAATATCTCGGACACAGAGGAGCTTGCTTGTGCGGTAGCGCTACGTCACCTGTTTCTGAAGCAGGCTGTAGAACACGATCTCCTTCTCCACGCCATACCCAGCATACAGCACCACCCCCGGGGCCGAAGGGCAGAAAGCGGCCAGACTGGGAGGTAGGCTGTCCAACTCCTGACCCAAACAAAGCGCAAAGTCACTTCAATTGACTAAGTCTGAAACACCAACCTGAACAAACAGTATACAGTAGGCCTCTCTGACTTATTGCAAACTGTGTTGTGTCTGCTAGATGTGATTTTATGTGATGGGCTCTGGTTAAGATGCTTATTATGCTAGTAACCCGCTAAAGCCGAAACAGCTGCTGAAAACTCTCCTGCACCGAGGGGCAGCGGGGAAGGAAAACAGTGCAGTTATGCCCACTGGTGGTACTCAGTTTCCATCTCACCTCCGTACGGGCAGGAGCTGGGAAGGTGAGCCAGTCCAAGAGCTCACACTTGTCCTTCAACCAGTCGGAAGCCCAGATGCTGACACGCCTATCTGCACTGGCAGCCAACCACAGCTCGTTTCCTTCAAGACCGAATTCTGTGTACTAAAGGGAAAATAAAATAAAATGGTTGATTTTGGAACTTAGCATTGAGCACAAGTCTGTTATTTCTTAAGACTGCTAAGTGTAAGCCGTCACGCCATTCAAAAACACAGTGTCGCTGCCTTTGATACAGGGTATATAAAGTCAAAACAGATTCAATTCAGCAATGAAACGGTACGCAGTCAGTCTTGACTTGTACAGCAGAGACCAGACACTGCAGAGTAAGTTAGCTGTGAAGGGAGACTTAGACACGTGCTGCACAAAGCTCTCTGTCAAGAGAATTAAAGGGAACTGCAGTCCCAATTTTTTAGACAGGTTATTAAATCTCAGTAACAAAATAAATTAATAAATTAAAATTTTACAAAGTCCAAATTAAGCACAGAAACGTGACCTTTGTGAAAATACTGCAAGTCACCATGTTGTCTAAATCCTCTGGTCTCACCACGGGCAAGTGCTCCCAAGAACTGGGACGTGAAGCGGCCCTTCCTGCTCACTAGTCACTGTAATGACTAATGTAATGCGATGTACAAGCAAATAAGTACAGGTTGTGCAGGAGGACATTTCACCACAGAAATGTTCCAATGTGATTTGCATGCAGACTTAACTACGTAAGTAGTATTTGTCTGAAAAATCATCTCAAAGTCAAGAGTGATATTTCTTTTGGATTAAAAGAAATGTATTCACAAGCCTGCTTCTTTACAACGTATTAAGTCTGCTTCACTTTACCAGACGTTTTGGCCTCATTCTGAATCACAGAACATGGTGATGTGCATACCTGGAAATTGAGGCTATTTTGTGATGTACATTGGAGGTTTTACAAGTTACTGTGTACATTTTACTTTTACTGTGGCTTGAAATCTTGAAATATACTCAGCAATGCCAATTCTTTCAAACCCCAAAATGAAAATAGCACTGCAGTTCCCCTTTAAAAGTCCAGAAGGCCTGGAAAGGCATCAATTTAAGATGGAAAAACACATACAGGCTTACAACAGAAATCACAACATAATTTTTAATCAAATTAACATTAAAACATGATCAAGCACTCTTAATTTATGGAAAGGGTTTGAAAGAGAATAAAGAATACATAATGAAAAGTATTTGCATAAAGATTTAATCAAGGTTGTTTTAGATTCATAGAGCAATTTTAGAACATTAAGTGCCAATTATTAATTTTAGGATAATTCCCAGTGTTAGAATTATTACCTGTATTGCCTTAGAATGGAGAATTTCTGAAAGCATTGCTGAGACACTTTCAGGACCCAGATGAAGGCTCATCAACCTGCATTATGAACTCTATGAATTGGCTTCATTACTCTCCTCTCCTCCCTGTTGTGAGCGTTCTGGCGCACTATGGCTGCCATCGCATCATCCAGGTGGATGCTGCACATTGGTGGTGGTGGAGGGGAGTCACCATTACCTGTAAAGCGCTTTGAGTGGAGTGTCCAGAAAAGCACTATATAAGTGTAAGCAATTATTATTATTATCATCATCATCATCCCGAGTTCTGACCTGCTTCTTGACACACTGAATGGTGCTGATGAGCGCCCCCTTGTGGTCACTGATGATGCGGATGGTCATTCCCGTCCGTGGGCTGCTCACGGCCATCAGGCCATCCTTCCCACCTGAGATTATCACTTGACCTGTGGGAGGGAGGGGGAACATTTCCACACTGATTGTGGGGGTCTTTCGTCTGTCGCCTAATCACAAGTGGCCTCCTCTTTGAAACACAGATTTCTGAGATTGAATTCAAAGGGGTGACTTTTATATGATGAATTAACTACCACAGCAAACAGTTGGAGATAATAAGTGCGTTACACAATTTGAACATAAAAATCCATTCTTGAAAAGGTTATAATTTAAATCAAGGGATGGTATGTTAAAATTGTATAATATACTGTTAAGGCCTCATTTACAATATTAAGTACACTTTTATTCAGCATGTTCTAGATAAGATATCGCTGCTTTGGAATCGCTCAGAGAGGAGCGAGCAGATCCATTCTGGAACTTGAGGGAATGTCCTGCACTGACAGGAGGAAGGAACTGAACCTTTTTAGCCCAGAACAGATAAGACTACGAGGGGACCTGACACAAGCACTAAAAATCCTCAAAGGCACTGACCGAGGCAACTGAGCAGATTTCTTCACAATGAACAGAGAGTACAAGTGGAATTCATGTAGCCATGCATTTAAAACTGAAAGCAGGTCCTTCTTTTCCCAAGGGATTATGGGAGTATGGAACAAATTACCCAGCCATGCTGTTGAAGCTTATACCC